CTTTTCTTAATTTTTCAACTCTTAATTTCATTTTATCATTATATTTGTTTTATATTTATTCTATTATATTTACTTTTATTGTGGTTTTTTGGTCCTGCTCTACTGTTTTTCATTAAGGTCAATATCTCTTTAATTGTATATTCCCTTGATTAATTACCCTTCATATTTTTATCTATTTTGCCTAGAATTATCCATATTTACAATAGTTTGACATTATTTGAATACACTTGAATAATAGAATCATTGATGACATCAGATTCATTCCCTATCGTATTAATTATTTACGGTGGTCATCTTTTATACGAAACTGCGAAACACGGAGATTACTGAAATGAAAACAATTCATCAATTATTGCGCCACAGGTTCACTACCGATTGTCTATTTCTAATAGAAAAACATACGCAGCAGCTTTTATATGGTTTTCTAGATATTAAGCAGAATAATGTTAACTTTTTATTCCATAATTGTTCGATTTTATCGTAGAGATGCGGCATGATTCAGAAATTTAGCTTATAATTAACTGTCAAAACATGTCAATTAAACATTCACTGTTGATTGTTCATGTCCATCCAAGCTTCAGTTTGAACTTTTGAACCATAGTGATGAGAAATAAACAAAATCATAATGCCGTTTTCTTTATTAATTGATTGATTTTTTTTAATTAAAGTGATATAGATGGAGAAGGATGTCCATATATTTCTATTATTTTTTCCTAATATAGAAAAAATTAAAGTCATTACATTGACCTCTACGAATGAATTACTGTATTAATACAGTTAAGGTAGACCGGGTATCTTCTGTCATCTTGCAATGGATTGTAATATAGAAATAATCAATTGGTCTAGACTTTTAATGAAATATGCAAACTTTGAGAGAGGACTGTAATTCAATTGTAAGACTTTTCAACTAAATGCAGACAACTATGTATTTTTAACTGGTTTTCCGAAGGAAAAAACCGGGTATCAAAATAGTGAAGTACGGCGGGCGACTGTCAAAAGTTTCCATGCAATAACTTATGAATCGTTCAACCAATGCCTTTCCAATTTTTATATGTTGTTACGGGTGACAAAATGGAGTTCAAGGTTGACATTGAAGATTTTAACTTTTACCGTTCAGGAGCAGGTAATGGTCCATGATATATGTGAACTTGAAAGGCACTTTATGTAGTTTCCGTGCAATACCTTTGAACCATTCAACCTTTAAGTTCTAATATGTTGTTACTGATGACATAATGAATGTCAAAGTCAAAATTGAAGATTTTCACTTTTGACATTCAGGAGTTAAGGTTTTTGATAGATTGGAAAATAGGCACAGAACGTGGCATGTCAACAAGCCTGAAAATGCCTTCAATTTGACAACTCATTTCTTTTATCTTATTACTATTACTGTTTTTAAAAATACAGATGGGTTTTTTTTTATTAAGTTGTATTCAAGAGAAAGGTTACTCAGATAATCTAACCTTTATAAAGGAATATGTTGTAAACTTAAACATTTTATTTTGAGGCAAGAAAACGAGTCCCGTGACCCCAATTTATATATTTATTTTTGAAAGAACATTATCTTCTCATGTGTGATCTTAAAATTCTATCGTTTAGCTTTTTTTCCAATAAGTATCATAACAATTGTTTATTTTTTTATGTATAATCTATACAACATCTGACAGTTTTGCAAAACCTGCTGCATGAAAAATGCTCCGTGAGCCATACTGTTTATTATATTTTTTGAAAAGCATGACGAATACTAAATTTTGGTAAATTATTAAAATATCTATCGATTTTACTTATGACCTTGAGGTTTGGTTACTGTCTGCTGAGTTTACTTCATATCTCTTTTATTTGCAGCTTCGATTATGTTATTTTGTCTTGTGGTGTATGCTTCCTGATTTCGCCTGTCAGATATACTAGATTAATTGCATTATACTCTTTGCCAATATATCTATAAACTTTTATATTTATGCAAATGTTTTAGATAAAGGTACTGAAAAGGTCAGCATTACTACATCGTGTTGGTTCAAATAACGGGAAATGTCGTCCCTGTTTTATTTTATAACAAAGATAATTAAAATTTAGAATCGAATCACCTTAATCAGATTTGTAAGCGTTTTTGTTCATTCCAGTATAAGCTGCATGTGTTGTATAGATTGTGATTATATTGTTGGTAATGAAGCTGAAAACATATAATAATCCATGTAATAATTTGTAGAGATAAGATAACGCACGCAACTCAGAAAACCTGCTTTTGTAGAAATCTATTATTGCCTACATTGTTGTTCTAACCAATGATATAGAAAACAGAAACAATATCATTCAGGAAAATAACTTTTCTGCATGAATAAAGAAAATCATCGGATAATTCAATGCCGTATTCTTTCTTTTGATTATATTTTTCAACGACCAAAATAACGTATTTACAATTAAAACAATCGAAAAGAAGACAGAAAATTATGTTTGCTTATTATAATTATAGTGTTGTAATTACTACAGTACAATGTAGTACATTACTATTTTACTTTGTTTTCACGTAAAACATGTCATGCAGCTTGTAATACTATTCGAGATTTTTTCCCCTATTATACCATGCCTTCTTGTCAAATATCTGACAATACAGGGTATTGAATGGTGTGTCAATATAGAAATAAGGACATGTGGAATGATTACCAATGATACAACTATCCGTAATGAATAAAGGACAAAGACGTGAACAATCACAGGTCACCGTACAGCCTTCAACAATTAGCAAAACCCATACCGTATAATAAGCGTTGCGTTGTTTGTGTTGATTATGGAAAATACCTCGGCATGAGGAATTCAGTTGTTAAACACAATAGACATATATCGTTCAACAAAAGTAATAATACACATGTTTGAACTCGAGTTTATTAATTATAATTGAAAAAAACTGTAAAATTATCCAATGAACAATTATTTTTAAAGTACGTTTGATTGAGAAAATCTTACAAAGTCGAAAAGTAAACAAATACGTGTTATCGAACAAATGGATCACATTTCTTTTGTGGAAACTGATGACACAATCAGCACACTATTTCGAAGATGGGAATAAAGTATTGAAATATCAAAATTTTAATCAGAACATGTTTATTTTTCAAATTTTAGGTTCAAATATAAGTTTTTAAATGTTGGTTGAAAAAAAAGATTTTTCAGATCAATAAAGCTGCCAATAAAATATTTAGCTATATTGCTTTAAATCAATGTTTGCTTTTCATGAAGACAAAAATTTGTGTAACCATTAGAACAATCGGATAATTTAGCTTGATACTTCTTATTTATGGAAGACGCTTCCTTTGTATCGTTTACTTTTTTACTAAAATGTATAGAAATGGTAATAATTTCAAAATCAAAATATAAAATGAAGATTATTAATTAACTGTTCTTTAAAGAAAAACTCATGCATTCACATATACAGTATCTTATAGATCGTTCGCAAGACTAGTTAAGAAACATATATATATTTATCTTACCTCATATACACTTCTAGGACTGTCATTGGTTAAAAGCGACCGCGTGGAGAGTGTGTATATTTCATATGGGGTTAGTAGGCGTGGTTTATTTTAATACACGGTTAGTAGTGATTTTACGTCCCTTTATAAAAACAACACGACATTGAGGAAAAATTTGAAACGAAATGATGAACGATTGTAATAAATGCAGAAAACACATTAAAAGCTAACAAGTTGTTATTGTTGGCATTTGTTTTTGTATAGACCAATGGAAATAGGTTCTTTATATTGAAGACTTGAACACTTTGATAGACCACTAGTCTAAATGCCACGTTAAGATAGTCGGTAAGATAAATTCGTTACTCATTACGAAAGTATTTCATATAAGAAGTATGTTTCATTTGCCACCTGTAAGACATCAGAGTGGTATACACACCAAAGGCAACGCTTATTACAAAACAATACGGTTGCTATTTAAAAACCTTTAATCCATAGACTCATATAAAGCAGAGAAATAGTTGGCTATGAGCGAAATTTATTAAAACTGCCAACTTTTCCAGAGCGCAATTAACCTTATATGATGTGAAAGTCAATCAACAATAGCTCAAAGATGAATGTCTGAAACTTTCACTTCATGATTGGCCAGTGTTTATGGACATGTATATATATTTTAATAAACTGTAACGTTTGGTAACTTTGTTATTTCTACCCTCTTCAACCACAAGTTGAAATTTGATTATGTATCTGAATAGGTGCACATACCATGAACCGTTTGTGGTTTTCATCGCACTGTAAGAAGAGTAACAGAACCTATTTCAACTGTTAACGGGCATTTTTGCTTTAATTTGTCTGACTTCTGACTGTTTCGATATAATCATGTTTCTCAGTAATTATTTTGCTGTATACATTTTTGTTAACCTTTCTGCCTTTTTATTTACTGTTGTTGTCTGTCTCAAGTTTAATTATACATTGAAATAATTAACATCTTTTCCAAAAAAAGGAAAACGGTCAATGTCCAGTCAAGTTTGTGTCTAAAGAGATAACCAATCAGCACAATTTGACATCTACATATCAGATCTCCAAACTAATCAGACAAAATCAATATACCACAAATAGTTGATAATTTATTCATAACATTTGATTTCTTTTTATCCTTTTTATTTAGATATGTCAGGAAAGAATATTGGATGCGTTATAACTAACTATAAATAAATCTAATTGAATGATAAGTGGGAATTCATATTTAGGAAGGATGGTAATTGTTTTATTGCAATAACACACTCGTTAGCAATTTGACTGCACTAGACGCTGATTTCGACAATTAATCATTTCATTTATGTCTCTGCAGTGATGCTTGATGTCAAAATATGAGAAATAAGTACAAACATGCCCCCCCCCCCTCTCTCTCTCTCTCTCTCTCTCTCTCTCTCTCTCTCTCTCTCTCTCTCTCGTCTATTTATTTTAGTGACTATACAGCACAAACATTGACTCTAAATTGCTACAAGATGTATATAATTGACCTTGCATGTTTCTTTATTTCAGTGACCATAGTTTGTATACCAATGACAGTGACAGTGATGATCTACCCGGTGTGGATATACGGAGATTTCATGTGCCGTACTTTAGACTTTATGCAAGGTAAAACTTGAATTATTATTATTACAAAAAGGTAGTAAATCGATATTTAGTAGGTGTAAGGGAGATGAAAATAATCGGAATAGCGGGATCTTTCAACGGAAGGACACCAGGTGCCTATGCGTGCACCACGATTCCGAAGTCATATTCAGTAGTAAGTTTCAAAGACATTTAGGTGAACAAAATAACCGGAAGTAATGCTCGATTGGCAGAGAAAGAGGGATTTCTATAAAAGTAATAAAAATAATAAGTACATCCCGTCAACGATTACTCGAGTATTGCTCGGCAGTACTGAGTACCGAATACCAAAATGAAACTCAAATAATCGGTTTCCTGTTGGAATGTTGTCGCCCTTTTTTTTAAATAAAATTAATTTTTATTGAGAATGCTATTCGGAAAATTAAATAGTAATCTTTGATTAATCAAAATTAATAAAACGTTACGAATGTTTGCGCCTAATTGTCCTTTAAAATTCCGCCGAAAAGAGGTGGGATATGCATGAGAGCAGCTTTCCTAGGCTTACACTTTTGGCTAAACGCGTCTGAGCCATTCCACCACATCTGTACCGTCAGAGCAAATATTGTCGTCTGCAGGACTGTTAGTTACGTAACAAAGTTTAGAAGCCGACTATGCCCAGAAAAAATTGACAAGATTGTATTTCTAATTAAGAACAAATTCATTGCACCCTTTGGTGATCCTCGGTCAATGGTTAAACGCATTAGTATGTTGTAATAATCACACCTTTGTTAATATTTGCATGTGTTTTCTTTACAATTATCAAATACTGTACGTGATATGACTTTGTTATCATTTTTCGGTCGATATGTATTTGTGCCAAAAATGAAACCATTTGCGCCACAACTTATTTGCGTCAATGCTATTTCTGCGCCACTTCATTTTGAAACCCACACGTTTCATTTTCGCAAATAAAACAATCATACAATTGCGCCTATTTTATCAATTTATTTATTTTTACCTATATATATTTTCTTTTTCTGAGTCGTTCCGACTTATCGCAGCTTCTGAGTCAGCACTTCGGATTTTGATTTATTTCGTGGCCTGAAACTTTGTGAGAGTATCTAAAAACTCAAACATTGACGGATGTGAAGCATAAAATTGTTCGTTGCAATGAGAGTGGAATGCTTAAGGTCCGTTATTTGTTCTTCTAGAATTTGAAAATCGATAGGTTATTATAGTACGTGTTATATGTATCATATGGGTAAAAAAAATTTACAGGTAAATGTGGCGCAATTTGATTACATTTTTTGGCGTAATTAATACACCAGAAGAATAGAGAGTGGCGCAATTGATACCTTTCAAAACTGTAATTGGCGCAAATTGATTCTGGCCAATTTTTCAATGGGTGTTTATCAAACTTATAATGCGATTATTGTTTACATAATTAGAACATGAGCTATTAATTAAGGTATAGAATTCCTGGGACGTTATCTAGTCCGAGATAATAATTTTGTGGGTTTTACGTCCATTAGACAACGTCCCTCAATACGTAAAGTGGGTATAATTTTGTGTTTCCATTTTGTAAATGTAAAGAGTACTCGATTAGTAATTCTTCACCGAGTTGACATCCCTAATAATAATAATAATAATAATAATAATAATAATATATCTATCAAAAGAAAGTAACTCATTTGGATCAATTAATTTTTCAACAATATTCTACCAATACACATTGATAAACAATAAAGATATAAATAATAAAATAAACAACAGAACACAACAATTGCATACATAGTGGTTAAAGTTACAAATATAACACTTTGTTTAAAAGTAGAACTTCTATGATAGAGCCAATATCCCATTAGAGTGTCGAGAAACTGAAGCATTTCAACAATCAACCAACACATGACTGCGTTTTGTCAACGAACTTGTGTTCCCCCAAACAGATGTTCCTCTGGAAACTTTGTTATAAACAATGCTATGATATCTTTTCCTGTTGGAACAAATGTTTTATGTCTTTTTTTCGTTAGAAACATAAATGTAATATTTCTTCAACTGGAAATACTATTTCAGAATATTTGTTCCATTTGGAAGTAATTTTATAAGGGAAATTCTATTCCATGACAGTAGAACTTGTATAGGGATATTTTTGGGTAACATAGGGCGATTGTAGTTTACTGATCTTCAAATCTCGAAAATCGATTAAGATACAAATTAAGGTAACAAACAGAAACCGAGGGAATCGCATGAAATCCAAAAAGAGGTATTCGTTCAGACTTGTTGAAGTCGTTAATTTAAAATTAACATGGAAGATACAGTTTATTTCTTAATTTAAATTTAAAACGTATTATACGATGTCAAAAATACAATTCAGTGTTCAAGTAATTTTAAAGGACTACATAACATTCCTCAAGTTAGATGTGATACTAGTTTGAGCTGAATTATAGATCTAATATAAGTGGTATTTTAATCTGTCTGTTATCATTTAATAAATCGAGTGAACTGAAGAATCGCACAAATTATACTTTAACATGAATTAGAAATCAATGCCATACTAATGCATAAATAATTCCTTCAATCTGTTATTGTTTTACTCAACGAGTGTAATTGATCTGACAAACAATTATTTATTGCTACTGATGCTGAAATTAAATTCAAATCCAACAATTCACAAAGTGAACTAAAAAAAGTGCACTATGTATATAACATATTAAAACACTTGAAACTAGTCAGCCACATGTTACACTCATTACGATTACATCATTGAACTTTTTTGACAGTAATTGCTGAAATTACACGACTTTCTACAAAAAATAATAGTATAATCAATCTCCTTAGCAGCTAAAATCCTATTGATTGAAATTATTAATTTAAAAATAATGACAAAGCAGTATAAATTAAACCAATATAGTATAATACGTGTGAACATTACCATAATTTGGTCGTCAAAATGTCAGGAAATTTTATATTACTAATCGGAAATCGTATTTTTTTGGAAAAACATACTTTTTTATGCTAACGAAGTGCAACGAGAACCATATTTTCCTGATGTTTCTGGTCCTAATAAATTTGATGTTTACCTATTAACGCTTCCCTCCGTCTGTCAAACCAAGACATATAAAGATTCCTAGTTGTCATGCGTATCTACAACAGTTTCCCTTAAACATTATTTATAATTGTGCACAGTGAATGAAAACGGATTGAAGATGTTCACCTCCTTTTTTGAATATGTTTGCAATATTTGTTCGTAGCTTTCACAAGGTGAATTTAGTCACATTTGTCATTGAATGTTTAAGGGGGTACATAGTTTTTGTAATGTGTAACTCCAATAGTTTTATTCAATATTACTCAAAGTTTACCTATTGATTGCACACAGATTCAAGATAGGTGTGTTCTTTTGTGAACTGGTTACCAAAGCGATTACCTAAGTCATTGAACGTTATAGAACATATCTAGCTGTGTACATATCGTGTTCTGTGTGCAACTCCTACAATTTTCCTTCAATATTCTGAAAACTTTTCACAGTAACTGCACTCTTAAGAAGAATATGTACCCTCTATTTTTCTCAGACTTTCCATGCGGAACTTAGTCATTTTTATTATTGAAGGCTATAGATGGTACCTAATTTTTGTCATGTGGTACTACAACATATTTTCACCAACATTATTCAAGCTTTGAATTTGGGACCAAATGGTCTCTATTAGGCAAGCCATTATAGCAAACGAAATCCTTGAAATATTGTATCAACTTGGAAATAAATGCAGCGTTGCTGGATATAGAATTAGACGTTCACAAGCATAAGTTCCCAACCGACCCTTCGTATGTATTTCCAGGTGTCCAGATATAAAACTGTATCTGTGATATACTTGCTGTCATGTTCAATTGAATAATTGTGTTCAACATAGTCAGCGAACTCTAACTTATTCAATGACAGGGCATCGTTTTTATAGTTTAACATAAGGTTCAAGGATAATGTTAGGTTCTTTTTTATAATCCTCGAGCAGCTTCTGTATGCAATTTTTTACTTACAAAAACAATTCCACAAGTTTAAGAAAGGAGACACGGTTGCTTCCATAGGAGTGTCGACTATCTGTTGAAGAAACCGTCCATCAAATGAAACAAATGTGTTGCCAATGACATAAATTAAGCAAAAAGTCAAATAACAAAAATTCCAAACGCCAAGGAAAAATCAAATGGCAAAATCAAAGCTCAAACATCAAACGAATGGAAAACAACTTTCATACTCCTGATTTGGTGCAGGCATTTTCTTATGTAGAAAATGGTGGATTAAATCTAGTTTTATGAACTAAACACCCCTCACATGACAGTCGCATAGAATTCCATTATATTGAGAACAAAACAAACAGACAAAATAGGTAAAACTGTCAAAAGTTGGGGTACAGCAGTCAACATTGTGTTATAATCTTAATCACTATGAAAACAAATAACTATTTCAACTTGCTTTCAGATTGAGGGAACTCTTCACTTGAATTCAAGTGTTTCTTGTGAGATGTGCACCCATACTTGTTGATCTGTTTTTCTTTATGGTAAAACCGACAACTTTAATAGCTTCAAAGTTAAGCACACATAAATTTGTTACTTTGGTGATTTTCGATAATGATTATGTTATAACAGAAAATTTGGCCAGAAGTACATTTGGCCAGAATTATTGACTAATGTTCAGCCTCCTTGAGAAGGACATGAATAGCAGTAATTCATTTCATGCATGTATGTTTCTGTCAACCTCAGTTACTGTCCAAGGATTCCTCAACTGTATACATTCTATTTATATATAACTTGCGGATAAATCAGCTATTTATTATGCGTGCATATAGGACAAAATGGGAAAGATGCACATCAAGAGATGACACCAAAGGAACATTACTATTAAAGATATACCTAATATTAAATTACATCACCAGCCCAGAAGTTAACACTTTCCTTGTGACGTGACTTATTATTGATGCGATAAGTGTTGGTAAATTAAATGTCCACAAACTGTAAATCATTAAAACACTGAAACTATTCTACACCAAGACAGAGAT